AGCGTTCTTGTTACTACTAGTAAGGCACTTGTTACTAGAAGCGATGCCTTTTGTTCCTAGTAGCGTCCTTGCTCCTGGGTTTTGCATTCACGATTTGATTCTTCTTGGGGCGTGGAGGCTGGGCTCGGCGGTCAGGTCACAGCACTCCTGAAGTTGCAGTCTTTCGCCTCAGCGAGGTCGAGCTTTGCGAGCTGTGGATATGGTGGCAAGGACCAAGCAGGGGATAACTGAGGCATTCTGAGACGATGAGAATCAACCCAAACAGTTCAACTGTTTGTTTTCGGTTCGGAGATTGAACCATGAGGCGATGTCGCGTCTCTTCGGCACCCAGGTGAATCGGCGTGGGCTCAAGCTGGAGCCGGGTCAGACTCGGCCATTCGCCAGGGTACCCAGCATCTGACGTTCTTGCTGCAAAAAGTCGTCCTTTAAGCAGGATTGAGAGGTAGTGCTTTGAGTCGATAGATCGTTGATCATGTGGTTTCAGTCACTTGAGCTTCAATCCGCAGGTAAAGGCACCGGTTACTGGAAGGGAGAAAACGGAAATATACTGAGGAAGAACATCCCAGTCAAGCCCTATTGTTGTCATGAATCCCTTTTATTCTGCTACAAAGCCTCTTTCTTCTTTTGGTCTTTCCTTCATCACATGATGGGACAAAACAGTCACAACACCTAAGCATGCTGGGTGCATGTGTTCCCCGTATTGCGGGAAAAGTCTGTGCCATTGGGAGAAGCCATTCAGACACAAATGAGACGTGACCAGCGTCTCTACGCGCAAACCACACCTACTAGCAATGGCCTCCGACCTAAGAGCGATGGCCTCCTAGCTACTAGCGACTGCTACTTGCCTTAGATCAACCCCATTTTTTGTGCCTTATTTTTTTCTATTAGCAAGGACGCTACTAGGAACAAGTGCATCGCTACTAGGAGCAAGGACGCACTAGGGGCTCCTGGCATCGCTACGAACGGAGCAAAGGGCATCGCTACGAACGAGAGTCCGGCTGCCCGAGGCCTGGGCCGAGCCTTTGGGCAGCGCCAAGCGCTTGGAGGTGCGGAGCTTCCTGACGCCAGTGATGACGCGGCTCACCTTGGAGCCGCTCGGAGTTGGGGTCGATGGTGTGGGGTGTTTTGGGGGTGGAATTAGCTTGTGGAGAGGTGAAGAGAGGCAAAAACTCAAATTTAAATTTTCACGAAAGAAAGGTGTTCTTCTTGTCTAATAGTAAGGCATAGTTTAGTCCATTCAGTCTGAAGAAGTGTTCTTCTGACGAAGGAAACACTTTGTAGCAAGAGTGCTCAGAGAGCTACTAGGAACAAGACGCTACTAGGGGCTCCTGGCATCGCTACTAGGAGCAAGAGTGCTTGAGAGAACTTGAGCACTCAGGAAGACGGAGAAGTCCCTTCCGCTCGACATCTCGAAGCATCCGCGCCTTGAAGGGATTCGGGCTTTCAGCTTCACAGGGCGACCAGTTTTTATTGTTTTGCATCCCTTTTCTTTTTGTTTCTTCCCTTTTGTCCGAACAAAAGCATCGAGCCAACAAAGAGTGACCGCAGGATCGTTTAGACATGAATTCGATTCGACATGTTTTTCTTCGGACTGGCAGAGCTCCGTGAGGCTTTTCTATGATGTGGTCACGTCTGGGTCCAGTCTAGTGATGACGGTGAGAGATCGGCCCAGGCTGGAGCAGTTGAGCACTTTCCAAACGAGGAAATACATCCAGAGATGAGATGGATGAGAGAACACTTGGAAAGGCAGTGAAAGACATCTATAGAGTTTACTCTCTCTCTCTCTCTCTGTGCATTCAACTGGTTCAACAAGATCAATGAAAGAGATTGACATCATGAGTCACATGAGTCCTTCGTGTTCAATCCCACATATTTTGGATGTTTGTTTGCTGGATTCTTTGTAGAACAGGTGAAAGTGAACAACTAAACGAAAGGACCGGACCAAAAAACCTTCACATTTTTGCCAGGCCCGAAGCCTTCCCTGCACTGTCCGAGGACCGGGAGCTTCAGGCCAGGCCAAGACACTCAAGACACACGAACGTGCTGCACGGTGGCCACGAAAAAAGCAGGGCCAGATGTGCAGATGTGCAGATGCCGCACGAAACGTTTGGATTTGGAATGATTTGGATCAGTTCTTCTAAGCTACTTCTCAGAAACATGAAATTCTGCGCTGGAAAAGCAACGTTGTTGGACAAAGGTCAACGTGAACCTGGCTGGCCTTGGCCTTTCCTTGGTCGCTCCGACTTCCTGTGCCTTGGCGCTGGTTTGAATACTGCCATCACTGCAGTCGATTATGTTTCAAGAACACGTGTGGCTGACACTGCTCGGTTGGGCACCCATGCCTGAGGTGCGTTTCCAGAAGCTCAGGCACCTTATCACTTAGTGGTTTGGGCTTCCTTTAACAACCGAAATCCTTTTAGAGCATAAGTGTGCTTGAAGGGGCAGATGTCGACACTAGTGACGTGCATGACAAGAAAACATGCAAGCTCTTTGGAAGGCAGGTGCATTTGAAGGTACATTTCATTTGGTTCCCGCCCAAGAGTTGCCGAAATGATGCCATGCTACTTCGAGCGAACTCGACCCACCTTGATCAAGAGAATGGCGTTCTGAATTTGCCCTGGCAGGACAACAGTGATGCCCCTCGCTTGATGAGAGGGCTTATCCGAGCGAAGATGAGTCACAAAGAAGTTGAATAGCACGTGCGTCAGCAGGAATTAGGACATTTCTTGACAACGAGGGAGATCCAAGTGAACGCAACACCTTTTTTTCCGTCAGTTGCTCATGAGTTCAGTAAGGAGTCATATCACCAGTCTCACACGTGACAATCCTCCTTTGATTTTATGTTGTCTCAACAGTCTCCAACAGTCTCTGGACACCAAGACACAAATCGAACAGGTAAGAACATGGTCTTTGAATACACAAACAGATGGTAGAACATGATTTCTAACCACAGATTTGACTCATAATTGAATTTTGGATGAATATGAAGGCCAGGAGCCACGCTCGTAGCGTCCGATCGCTCCTATATCACATTTTATCGCTCCTAGTAGCAAGGCCAGCAGCCCGACACCGAACTCAGTTTGAGGAAGTCTTGCGCCGGGAGCTCTTGAACTGCTCCGTGGAGAAGATCGTGGGCGCCTTCCGGCGGCACGATTTGATTGAGACGCTGGAGCTCAGCCTCCAGGAGGCGCCGTCGGTGAATGGAACACGACGGTTGGTAGTTGGAAGGCGTGGAAGAGGTGTGGAAGAGGTTGGTAGTTGGAAGGTGCTTCCTAGTAGCTTCTTGCTACTAGTAGCGATGGCCCCCAACCTAGTGGCGATGGCCTGCACCTAATAGCGTCCTTGTTACTGTAAGTGCAAAAGATGTGCAAGGTGCTTCCTTTGCGCTACACTGCTACGCTCGCTCCTTACAGCTACTTTGCGCGAGGTGCAGGTAGACAACCAGCGTGAGGATGCATCGCACCCGGTCCTCTTGAAGCGGCGGGGCGAGGGCAAGGCACACCTGGCGTTTTGGGCAGTTGGAACTGTTGGAAAAGCGTGCTTGTCAAAAGAGATGAAGGAAGAAAGGAAAAGGTCTGAAGGTCTAAAGAAGAAAAGAACAGAGACTAACAGACAAGAGCAATGAAAGGACAAGCGCTGAAGAAGTTTTGAAGCGTGTCCTTGTTTCCCGCACACAAAACATGTACACGAAGTCTCGCACAACAGGAGGATGCTTTACCGTTTCTCAGAGGCATTCTCCGACCTCAGCAGACAGACTCAGTCCTCGCTCACAACAGCTGAGACTGTAACATGGTAGTAACAGGTGGTACTGAGATTGCCACTTCGTATATTCACGGCTTTGACAGCACGCACATTGCTTCACACCAAGTAAATGGACACTATCTTTTTTTTCCTCCTGAGTGCAGCAAGGCATTCTGATGCCGCTTCAAGCTTCTGTTTTCAGAGACTCACAAGGATTGCTTCACTCAAACGGATGCTGTAAGCTTTCCTTCCAAATCCTTTGATTCAGGCGACCTGAATCTTTCATGCCAACAATGCTTGATTAGCCAGTTCACTTTCTGAATGCATCATATAGGGGTTAAGAACACTGCCCCAAGTTTGATTTTGCAACTAGCAACTGGTCGCTTGTACAAATCGTAGACATCATGGCACTTTCTCCAAATCCAAGGCTTCTGCAGCTGGTGCTGAGCCGCTATTGCGATGCGGAGCGGCCACAGCTACTGCACTTTGACCGATTGGAGGTGAAGCTCAGGCGAGAGAAACGAGAAAAGCAGGTGACATGGTGTGACATTTGTGAGATTCGCACAACGCTTTTTGACAGAAAAGCTGAGATTTATATGAAATCTGTAGGCCAGGTGGGGAAGACTGGAAGACTGAACACCCGAATTGGTCTTTGCAGGAGCATAGACCTGCGGCTGGACCAAGGTGCCACTTGCGTTTTGCAGCGAGAGCAGAGGGATCGGAGACAAGCCAATCAGGTGGCCTTTGAGGTATTAATGCTGCACATACGGTTGTGACCGTAGTTGTGGGAGAGAATTCGCTGGAGTTCTTAGCACTTTGTTTTTTTCCATGTTGCGGGTTCACAGCTGAAGCCGGAAGTTTTTGGCCGAGCTTTGATGCTAACTTAAACTGGTACTGAACGGCACAAAGCGCTTGCGGGAAGGTTTCATCTTTGATGTCATGGCCCTGGCCACCAGTATCCGCTCCAGCTGGGGTCGTCAGGCTGTTCGGAATGCTGGAGGACCGAGGTGAAGTCTGGAGATAACAACGACATTGAACATGAAAAAACAAAGTATGGTTAAACTAAACCAATTGCAATGGCCTCCCAACCTAAGAGCGATCGCCTCCAACCTAACGACATTGATGTCATTTCATGTCTTTTAGTTTAGCCGAACACATTTGAAGTAAGATCCCTAATGACTTTACCTTCGCCATTACGCATTACGCAGTGACACGCCTGCAACACTCGGGGAACTGCTCCAGACAGGAGACAAGTATCGTACTTGTTGTAGAATAGAAACAACGTTTTCGCATGGACGTCGTGGGGAAAGTAGCAGATTACCTCTGCACAGTCTGCACCTAATATGTTGATGTCTTGGCGAACTCGACAGATCTCCTGCGGAGGGTTCCCACATCGAGATTTACATCTCAAGCAAATTGAGTTTGTTCCCGTTTCGTGTTCCAAATACTCGGACAACTCCAGAAGACACCACGAAATCAAACCGTATTTGGGAAGGTGGACGGAAACCATCGAAGTGCTCTCATGCCATCCAAACACTTCATCGCAAAGTTCCTGACGGACTCATTCCTTCCATCGTCTCCAAGGCTTGGGTGTGTCCACGGACTCAACAGCCGATCGAAACGGCGACGATTTGGGCCTTGAGAAGGACACAGTGTCGGTGTTTGTCATATCTGGAAGGAGTGCTGGAGAAGGATAGGTGAGCGGTACAATTATTAGAGGCAACAAAGCAGGTTTCTCACGAAGGCACTGTTAGCATCAATGGCAAACTGAACATTGGAATGAAAAACACTCCAACAAAAGATGATGAGGCAGCAGAGGTGTTTTCATTTTGGTTTATTATTCTTCCATGTAGCTATTTTTGCTGTCCTTGAAGTGATTTCTTGCGAAGACCGCGAACGGCTGTTGATGTGCCCAGGAGGGCCTCAAGCTGCACTTCAATCGCTTGGAGTTGGGCTCAGCAGAGCACTCAGAGCACTAAGTTGAAGGTGGTGGGTCAACGTGTTTGTTCCAGTCCCTAGAGTTGACACAAAGAAGATAAAGCAGGCGAATCAATCCTCATCTCACTTGTGTTTGCTGAACACTTCAGATCGGTGAGACAGTTGTGATTGATTCCCGGTAATGTCCGTTCCAGAAAAAAGACACCAGCTTCCGCCTTTAAGATAAAGCTGACCAATTTTGCTTAAGAAGAAACGGAATTTCCAGGTCTATTTTTGCACGTATATTTTATGTTTTGGTGCACGCCCAGAATCCGTTTCACAAGTTCCAAAAGCCATTGAGCCAAACACACATCAACAATATGCTTGTTTGAAGGACCTTCGTTCCAAGCAATTGAGGAACTTCCTTCATCCGACTATGCTGGCCAGCCTACTCTTTCATATCTGGTAGAACTGTACGGTGAGGCTAAAGTCCGTGTCTCCTTCGCTGGGAGCAGCTGGGGCAGTGCCCCGGGCGACGTGGGCGCCCTGTCATGCGAACTTCACTTGAAAGGAGAGCCTGACAGAAGCGAGGACACGGATTGTTTGAAACATGGGGGTATTGCAGTAGTGCGAAACATCGATACTCTTTCATTCTCGAACAGTGTGAGCGTGAGCTATCCTGCGTCCAGTTCCTCGGAGCGTTTTTAGTACCTAATAGAGCTACTAACTAGTAGCCTATATAGCGTACACCTCTTCTATAGCGACCTTTTCTATTTTTACTAGGAGCGATCGGACGCTACTAGGGGCTCCTGGCCTTACTACTTCTACTAGGAGCAAGGACGCTACTAGAAGCGTCAGATGGGTTTGGATGCGGTTCGACCTATTCGGCTCATCGAGGTGGCTTTCTGGAAGCGTCTCTTGTCCAGCCTCTCTTCGGTCGACCGCGCCGTACTCCGTCGGGCTCCCGGAGATTTGCAGGAAAAAGAGATTTCTAGCAACTAGAAGCTTCTTTAGGAATCGTTTCATTGGGAATTGTCTTTTTCTTCAGGAGGTGATGATAACATGACTGGTAGCTAGAAGCTATTGGGTTGGAGCCCATCGCTAGTAGGTTGGAGGCCATTAATACTAGTAACAAGTGATTTCTTTTTCATCCCGGATTTCCTTGGTAGCCTTTTGTAAGTCCAATGCAGGGATTGAGTTTCCACTCTGAGGCTTTGATGAGTACACCCTGCAGGAGACCACTGCAGATGCAGAGAACTTCGTCACTACTCTGCGAGGCAAAAGCTTTTGTTGGCTATCAACAGATGACAAAACGTTGAGTTTCTACTCATTCGTGGCGCTTGCTGTACATCAAGATTGAGGCAAGTAACCGACTCCCTAGTATCCACTAGTCGCCCTAGTCAAGTGCTTGCATTTTTTGTCAAAGATGGAGATTCTCCATCTTTTGCATATTTTGAGATCGTTTGAGGTCACTATGTGAAGCAGTTCTGGCGAGAGCTCAAGTGGTTCGTCGGACGTTTGGAGGTCCTGGGGACCCCGGTGACCTTCTGTGGCTCCGTCGCCCGCAGTTGCAAGGCCCGGTCAAAACGAGTTGTGGAGAGTTCAAACGCCTGGCAAAACTGAAAAACAAACACAGGTATGGACAGATGACATATAGATGGGACGTATACATTCATATAAATTCCTTTTCTAAATACTACATGCAATCGAAGGGACATGTGGGAGCTTTGGTGCAAAGCACCAGGACGCAAGAGACGTGATTTTTGCATCAATCTGCTTATCACAGAGGGACAAGAAGTAAAGAGAGACTCCTCCAAACACTAGTAGCAAGAAGCTACTAGGTGGAGACCATCGCTATTAGGTTGGAGGCCATCGCTACTAGTAGCAAGAAGCTACTAGTAGTTCCTGGCATTACTACTAGGAACAGGAAGCTACTAGGAACAAAGGGCATCGCTACTAGGAGCAAGGACGCTACTAGGGGCTTCTGGCCTTACTACTAGGAGCAAGACGTCACTAGGAACAAGCGCAGTTCTGTTCGACTTAGCTTGGTAGGAGGGAGCCTTGGCACCGTACAAGGGGGCGACGAGGTCACCAGAGGACCAGCTTTCCGTTTGGCCAAACCTCCGATCCCAGTCGTTTCGTGCAAACGACGGAGGCTTTGAAGGCATGAATGGACAATGCGTTCGACTCGCAATGAATGGACTTGTCGTTTGATCACGCATGGCTCGCTTTTCGTCCTATTTGGACCCCCCAAAAGATGTCCTCAGAACTATTTCATTACTTGTTCCTAGTAGCTTCTTGTTACTACTAGTTAGGATGACTTATTCTTGGATCCTAAGGTTCCACTTCAGACCTTGAAGCCGTTAAACTTTCTCGCAGGACATGTTGGAGGGCTGCCTCCTGGGAACTGGTGGCTGTGTCCGCAATGCGCTCTTCGAGTGCTTCAACTCCCTTTCTAAGGCCAACCGGGGGAGTTGGCGTTGAACCGACTGCACTCAACCCGTAGTAGACTGCCGGGCGAATCGATCCGAACGAGTTTGCGATTGCAAAGGAGAGAGACCAATTCAGATCTTGGACACTGAAGCTTCGGGATGTGATGGATGCTGGCCCATATGGCCCATACAATTCTTTGCACGACTTTCATTTCTTTTAAAAGACTCTTTGCCACCTTTGCCACCGAGTTACTAGGGGTCTATCAAACCAGCCCTTTGCCTTTCAATTTGTAACAGGCAAATCATCATGCCTGAATGCTTCACCGGAACCGCGAGTGTCCAGGGAGTGTCCTTGGCCCAACGACCAAGGCGACTGGGGCTGCTTCGCAAGGCTGTCGTATTTGCCTTCCAGAGGCGATCAGTACGCGTCAAGTCGATCACGTCAAGCTCCTAGTATCGTCCTTGCTCCTAGTAGCGATGTCAGGAGCCCCTAGTAGCGTCCTCTACCCTTCTTTTCACGGAAACTCCTTCATGCTTTTTCGATCTAATTCCTCTTTCTTGGACGTTTTTGGACCTTTCTCTCTTCCATCTTTTTCTCAAAAGGTGTCCGTTTTTGGAATTTGGCAGGACTTTCAGAATCCACCCACGCGTGGTGGTCTCAAAACAGCTTGCGACAGCTGCATGGGCCCGGAGCTCCAAGACACGGAATACAACCGAACCACGTACTTCATCTCTCTTCATCTTACTGTATTCATATGGATGCAGTTTCAATTGACAGACATTTTGCAATGTTATTGTGACCTGGCAAGATTGGCACAAGTCAGACCGCAAGACTGGAGATGATGTTCCCACTTGAGGAACAGAGGCACAATCCCCAGACAGTGTATTTCTGTGGTGCCGGCATAGGATCGTCTTCAACTATGGGCCAAATGCACGTCAACTTCAGAAGAACCCTATTGGTTGATATAGTATGCCAGCACCCTCCATCCTCTGATCTTCCGGTCAGTCCGAACAACATATTTGTTCAAAGGAGACGTCAGACCCAGACGACAGGCGCACACCTCCGTGTTACCGAGGCACCATGTGCCACTCCGTCACCGGTCTCTGCACGCGGCCGGTGCGTGGCTGCCGCCGGGGGGGTCTCCGTGGCTGCGCCAGCGGTGCCACCGAAGGCCGAAAGGACTATGAATTAATGTCGTATTGTTACTACGTTCGCTTCTTGTTACTACTAGAAAGGCACTTGTTACTAGAAGCGATGCACTTGTTACTAGTAACTTATTGTTTCAAAGATGACAGGAGTCCACGCATTCTTTCAGAAAGCACCTTTCTGCTTGTAGAACGCGAGACAAACTTGTTGCACTTCTCTAACACTGTCAGGTCTTTTCGGCTGCGCGGGTGGAATCATCGTCGGCTGCCTGGACATGACCCGTCAGACCACTGAGAGACTCCGTCTGGGCGCCCATGCAACGGACACCCAAGCGCTCAAAACGATCTTTGCACTCTTTTCCTCAAGAAACTTGCATAGGCAATGCTACTAGGAGCAAAGGGCATCGCTACTAGGAGCAATCGGACGCTACTAGGGGCTCCTGGCATCGCTTCTGGGAACACGGACGCTACTAGGAGCTTTTACAGCGCAGGCAATGCTGCCAGCCGGACTGAACAGGGCCGCCGGCGTCTACCACGTGCGTTGTACGGCGTGGAGCGGGCGCTGCGGCCTTTCGACCAAAGAGATGCTGAACTGAAGGTGGGCGTCGCGGGCGAACCGAGCAGCAACTGAAGGTCGGAAGTGGCCTCCAACCTAAGAGCGATGGCCTCAAACCAACTGGTTTTAGAGTTGGCCCTCCCAGCGAGAAGCTGGGCAGTCATGTCCAACCCGACAGTGACGCATTGCGTCCTCCAGGCGCACTTCGTCGCATCTGACCCCAGCCTGGCCTCCATGGCCTTGCTGGAAACCGTGAGGGATGAGAATGGCTTGGTGGCGGCGGTGTCAGATCTCCACTTCCTCTACTACAGCAGAGACGGCCACTGGGCACGCCAAGAGAGATTGACGAGCATGAAAACACTTTCCAATTTGGAACAACCCTTGAGAGTCTCTTTGCGATTTTGTGTCAGAGTTCTTGCTCTTTACGAACTATGCACAGCCAGAGAGTCAGCAAACTGTTGCTGAGGCCATCTCACGAAAGTGCCATTGGAAGACATCATGGAAGTTGAAGTTTCTGACAAGGCCGGGGACGAAGCTGAAAGGGCTCCAAGGCAGCCAGGAGCCCCTAGTAGCGTCCTTGCTCCTAGTAGCGATGCCAGGAGTTTCTATTAGCTTCTTGTTCCTAGTAGTAAGGCCAGGAGCCCCTAGTAGCGATTCCTGCTTGTGTTTATTTTGCACTGGAACAATGAGAAGAAATTTCAGAAAGGCAGCACCCTTCTTTTGGACCTCCAACCAAATCCTGACCACCATTCACTGAAGGTTTTGCTTGCTGAACTTGAGACCCCTTCAAAGTGAACAAAGACTCTTTCATCTGGGGCCGAAGGCCATCGTCCTGCAGCGCGCCGGTCTGGGCGAGCTGCGCTTGGACGACGGAGCTCCGGAGCGCCTCCGCCGGGCTGGGCGACTGTTGGGCGAATGCCTGGCGGTGTGACGACGACGATGGACGAGGACGAAACATGTGGCGAAAACAGACTTTTCTTTTTTTGGAGGCCATTGCAATGTAGGTTGGAGGCCATTGCCTTCACAGACGAATTTTAATTCTAGTTTGCATTTTTTACAGAAAAGTCTTTGGAGGTCAAACGAAAGTAGAGGCCGGTTCACAAGAAGGGCTGATGCAGGTTAAATGGAGAAGAGGGCCTTTTAAACGCGTGTTCCTGTATGTTCCGGTGTTTCGGCTTTTGTTTCATACGTGTTTCCGTGTTTCTACAAGTTTCTACAATTTCTTTAACCATTTTCTTCCGCATGCTCTGTGTGAGAGGAAGAGAAGAAGGCCAAAGATGTGCCTTGCTTCTTGTGACTCGGCCAACATTTGTCCAAGCATTGTGTAACAGTGGAGCCATCCAACAACTGGTCCTACATTTGTTAATTTGTTGAAGTCGTAGCTCAAACTGAGAAAATGTAGAATCACCTGCACAGTCCAACTGTAGGAAATCATTTTCTCAAGAAATGCCAGCTAATGCTAGATTAGGTTTTCCTTGATGCATTTCAAATTTGACATTCTGTGAATGATGCGCTGCCATTGTGTTTGCATGTTGATTTAATGCTAAAAATCATTTGTTGCCATGGGGAAGAGGTTCTTTTGACGGAAATCGACTTAGATGCAAGGATTGCAAGTGGTGAACAGCTTGAAGGGAAAGGTGAAAGCCAGGACATTCTAGGCTTTTTATGGGGACTAGTGAACGCTACTAGGGGCTCCTGGCATCGCTACTAGGAGCCAAGACGCTACTAGGAGCTTTTTCACCTGACAAAGTGAGGACTTTCACCAACGTAAGGCTTGCAAGGTGCGATTTGATCCCAGGTCGATAAGCGGTCATCCTGCAAAGGAGAAGACAAGCTACATGACTGAGGTGTTTTTGCACTCAAAGAGGGCCAAAGCCCTTGAACTTGAAAATACGTTCGTGCAAGTAGTATAGTCTTTGAGGAGTAGTTAAGGCCATGACCGAAACCACTTAGTAGCATTCGTGCCAAAGGCTAAACACCTCCGTATTGCGTTCTTCGGAGCGCTTGTGGACTCACCTTGAGGTGAGTATGGTCTCAAGTGCAGGCAACCGGCGCCTGTGCATAGTTTAGGCCCTCGCACTGAACCTACAAGGCCATGCTATGGCAAAGGCCATGGCAACATGATACCTGAAGAACTTTGTAAGCAACTGCGAGCCACGAGCAGCAGTTGCAGATAGACTTCATTAGTCTTCTGTTTTGGCTATTTGGTTCCTTGGCTAGAAGGTTCGGGCTGAGCGGATGGATTCCTCGATGCACCTGCGAAGCTGTTCTGATCAGGCAGAAGCTTGCCAACAAATCAATTTTATCCTGCTGAGTACAGACCATCTCAAGCAAAAGACCGTTTGGACTAGAGGTAGCTTTGGAGGGAGGGAATTAGATGCAGCCGCAATGCAGCCAAGTTCACACGACACATTTCACAGATGTTCTTCTTTGACCATAATATGGCCATAGACCTCAGTGGGGTAGTCTTCCGGGTGTTCTCATTCAGTGCATCTTGGCATCTTTAGGACGCCACAGCCGGTGCTTGAGAACCAGGTGAGGCGGAATGATTTGCGTTGAAAAGATGCGGATTTTGTGATTTGCGCCCAGACACAGCGAGGGATTGAGCTTGGCATCAACTTTTTGCAACTTTGCTGCCCACTTTTCATTCGAAGATTTTCATTTCGCATCCAAGACGAAGTCATAATTTTCAGCTGAAGAGCACGGGCAAGCGGACTAAGAAACATGTGACGGCGCAGTGTTTGACCGAAGACTCGAGCAAGACCAAGCAGAATCAACCGCCAGCACAAATTAAGGGGCTGTAGGACGCCGTAGGAGGCATTGGCCATGTCGAATCCCTCCAAAGACTCTCAGGCGTGACACCTGACCTAAGCTTGTGAAGTCATTGTGGCATGCTCATCACCCCATCATCGCGTTATCACCCTCTCAGTTGTCCTTTGTCAGTGAACCCATTTCTTCCATGCATGACCCCAAGGCCGTAGCAGCATGCTTTCCCATGAGAAATGGAGGGGAGCCCTCCCCTGATGTCGCTTCGGTGTAGATTTGATCAGCTGCGACCCGGGCATCAGGAAAGAAGCGCCAAAGCACCAACAAGACGAGAGGACCAAACCTGCTGTGACAATCTTCTTGCAAGAGATTCTAGTTTTGCTTGGCATATGTGCTTGATGCACTTCAATTATACATGAGCATTTGGCCAATTGAATCATCTGAACTCCTTGGGTTTCGATTGTTATGGTTGCATACGAGGGATTCGGGCACACAAGTTAAGAGGAGGAGGACCCTGGCATGTTTGGAGAGAGACGGATGCGTTGCCAGCGACTCCAGGCCAAGAGCAGCACGAAGCTTAGTGAAGACAAATGCCCTAATATAATTTGCTTTTAGTAGCTTCTTGTTCCTGGTAGTAAGGCCAGGAGCCCCTAGTAGCGTCCTTGCTCCTAGTAGCGATGCCCTTTGCTCCTAGTAGCTTCTTGTTCCTTAAAGGACTTTTTTTTGGAAGGACTTTTTAAGGCCGCTCTGCCCGCCGCCCTAGTAGCGATGGCCTCCAACCTAGTAACGATGCTCTCCAACCTAGTAGCGATGGCCTCCAACCTAGTGGCGAAAAAGGCTGCTTTCCCCTCAATGATCTATCATGGTATCCCTTCATGCACTGCAGTCAGTTGAACACTGTTGGGCATCCCTCAAAGTGCATACCAAGGTGGGCCTCTTTCCTCTCCAAGGCCACATATGCATTCATTGTGCGCCTTTTGATGATGTTTGATCAGAAGAGAGGGTGGACTTTACGGAGGTTGCAGGGCTGCACTACAACACTCGTGTGCGTTCTTCTTGTATTCCTTCCATTCCTGTAGTTTTTTTCCGTGTATAGATTTGACTTTTTAAATGTTACTTATATAAATATACAATTGTATATGTGAATCGAACACCAGGGAAAGCCTTCGACCGGACACCTTCGAATGAGCAACCATGGATTCGACGACCTCATGAACAGACAGCCAACCAATGTGTTTGGCTCAAGGGATGAACACAGGACAACGGTAGTGGTGGAGAAAAGGCGGCGGACCGCTGACCTTGGAAGGGCGGAGGACCACCCTTTTGTTTAGGTTAGGAACCTTGTTTGGGCGAGGAAGCAACCAGTGGCACTGGAAAACAATTCCAGTGACATTGGTAGCGGAGCCCAGGTTGGCCTAGTGTAGGACGCTAGCAAGCCATGGGATCCGAAGAAAAGAATTCTGCGATCTGGTCATTACTGCCGAGTTTCGACCCCAGCCAAGACGACATCAAGGAGTATGTTGCAAAGGTGAAATTTGTTGATGGCATATGCCCGAAGAAAGATCGCAATATGCTGGCACCTCGTTTAGCGATGTTATGCAAGGGTACAGCGTGGCACCAGGTTCGATCGATCAAGGCCGATCAATTGACCAATCCTGATACAGGTGTGAGAAGCCTGCTGGCCGCATTGTCATCGTGGGAAGAGAGCGCCGAGCTGAACACGTTCGAACTTTTTGACAAAGCAATCTACAGGACTACACAGAAGAGTGATGAAAGCACTCAGTCATTTGTCAACAGGTTGGACGTGGCCTTTGAAGATGTAGGCCCTGAAACCACTCTGAAGGCCATCAAGGCCTTTGTGTTGCTGAAGCAGAGCAATTTGGGGCACGAGGACAAGAAGAAAGTTTTGACGATGACCAATGGAGCATTCGATGAACGAGCAATTGAAAAGGCTATGCGCAGTCTTTCAACAAGTGTTCTCACTGGTTCATTGCAAGAGAAAAAGAAAGTCTACCCAACAAATTATGTTGAGGATCCACAAGACTCACCCGGAGATTCGGTAGACCATTTTGGTACCGATCAGAGTCTGTATGCAGCCCAAGGAGAAGATGACGAAGTCCCTACAGAATTGTTGGAACAGTTGGCCACGACCGGAGACGCCGATGCACTGACAGTTCAAGGATTTGAGAAGGAGTTGACTGAACTTTTTCAGGAAATTCCAGATCTTCATCAAGCTTTGCTGAGCTACCAAGAGGCCCGTGGCCGCATTGTGGAGCGCAAGCGCAATCGTGGATTCTGGCCGATCAAAGGATTGAGCAAATCTGGAAAAGGGTCTAGTTCTTTTGGGCCCAAAGGATTCAGAAAAGGTGGTTCGAAAGGAAAAGATGAGCTGCTGAACAGGATTGCTCGTACCCACTGCAAGCGATGTGGAGAGCTTGGCCACTGGAAGGCGGAATGTCCTCAACGCCTGAAAGAAAGCCAGGCCAACGTAGCTTCAGCTTCTCATGAGATGGAAGAGAATGAGGCAGCTGCACAAGTGCTTTTCGAAGAGATTGATTCTGAAGCCGAGGTCGGGTTTGGGATTGGGTTCAAATCCAAAAGCCATATGTGTTTTGCCGAACCAAAGCATTTCGAGCCAGAGCCAATCGTTGAAGCATTATTTGCAGAAGAGGTAATTAAGCAGACTCAAACATTTTTCGCCAAACGAAACCGAGTGTTTGATTCGATCGTCAGGAAGCACAATCCTCAGCCGATGCAGCAAAAGCCTTTGCTCGCCACTGGGCTCACCAGTAAATCCGGAGAGTCCCTCGGCTTTCGAACGAACGGCATGGCAATTTTAGACACAGGTGCCAGCCGGAGCGTAATCGGTGAAGACAACCTTCCGATGCTCCTTGGACAACTGCCGATCACCGTCCGAGATCGAGTGAAAGATCGTGCAAGCAGAGTCGCATTTCGATTCGGAAACAACCAGATAGAATATAGCTATAAGCAGATCCATATTCCGATCGAATTTCGAAAGACTCGAATGTGGTTGATTGTAGAGGTTGTTCCAAAGGCCACCCCGTTCCTGCTTTCGATTCAGACTATGAGGCAGCTAGGTGCAGTGATTGATTTGCAAAAGAGTTCATGTCATTTGAAAGCACTAAATAGAAACATCCCACTGCATGAAGCCAAAACCGGGCTCCTCATGATTCGAATGCAAGATCTGTGTAATCCAGAGCCGAATGTCGAGAGCATTTTTGGTGCGAGTTGTGAAAAGCGAGTAAGTTCACTAGATTGTCTGAGCGATGCCAACTCGCGGAGACATGATGAGCATGGTGAAATCGATTGCGGAGAACGTGATGCAGAGCCTCAAGACCCTCCTAGCCATCCTCCTCAACCAGGTGGCAACTCAGGTGTCAGAGCAAGAGGTCCCGCAGGACCAAGCGGTGATGATGAACGAACCTCTGACCGAAGTCCAGTCGCAAAAGGAGAAGATCGAAGAACTGGCATTCATGATGAAGCAGAACATGTCACCGCGAAAGACCGAAGACGGCCTCGTGATCCTTTCAGAAAGCGATTTGGAAGTCTGGGATCAGGAAGTTCGTGTTTTCCAGCAACCGATGCCACCTCCGATTACGAGTGGCAGATCATCAGCCGCAACCATGAAATCCCAGGCACCAACGACGCCTCAGCAGAAAGTCAAGTCGAGTGCAGCCGGAAAGGGAAGCCTTCCTTCGTCATCGACGCCAACACAGTGGGTAGCAAGTCTGGTTGGACCCACTGCTCCTGGAAGCCCATTGCGAATGAACCGCCAGCCGATCGAAGACGAGTCGACAACCCATCCACAGATTCAAGGGCAAAGTCTGGCATGGACGGCCACAGCAATGGATCAATGGGGCCAAAAGAAGGTGACTTGGGGAAAGAAGCACCCCGGCAAGACATTCGCCCTGGTGTACGAAGTGGACAGCCAGTATGTCCAATGGTGCCTGAGCCGGATCAATTCATTGGATGCACCAATCGCAGATTTCGCTCGTTATTGCCAAACTCGCCGCCAGATGGAGGAACAATTGCATCAGAGCCAGGGGTTCTAGAGTGGGAGGCTTTGGCCATGGATACTCAAATAGTAGTTGAGACGGAATTCGAAGCCAAATTGCTGAAAGCCATCCGAGCCGAAACCAACCGCAAAGCATTTGGTAAGCAGGTTGACTTGTTAGAAGTGTATGCACAACCCAACAGTCGTTTGTCTGAAGAAGTGATTCGACAAGGGGGGAGGGCAGAAAGATTCACCATCGAGCATGGAGACTTGTCAACTTTTGAAGGCCAGATGCAATTGCTTCGAATGATTTCTAGGCTGCGACCTAAGAACATTTGGGTAGCTCCAGAGTGCCATCCGTGGTGCGCTTGGAATCGTTTCAATGCAAGCCGAAGCATAAAGGGCTATGAGAAAATCCAACAGAGCCGTGAACTTTCCAAGCAACATCTAGAACTCTGTTCATTGCTATGCAAAATCCAAGTCTACCACCATCGGCATTTCACTATGGAGAACCCAGGCACGTCAGACATGTGGAACCAGCCGGAGATAAAAGACATATTGGCATTAACCAAGACAGCCAGCCTAGATCAATGTAGGTTTGGTTTGATTCATCCAGAAGATCATCGTCCATTGAAGAAATACACAAGACTCCAAACCACATCAAACAGTGTAGTGAGAAGCCTAGACGGTAGGTTCTGCACCAAAGAGCACGAGCATTCGCAAATAGCAGGGTCATGCAAAGTCCACGGCAGTCGCATGGCAGTGTCTCGGTTTGCAGCATTCTACCCAAAGATTTTTGCTAGAGCAGCGGCCAAGAGCATTCTGCAGGAAAAGGGGAAATCACAAATTCCTTTAATCTCGGAAGAGGACTTATGTGAATTGTTTCCCGCAGAAGGTGAGGAACAGCCTGCAAAGCGTGCACGCATTTCGTCACCACGTGAGCCCAAAAGAAAGGCAGCTCCCGAGGATACAGAAAGAGTCGAATTGACTGATCCTGTCTGGGAGGAAGTCTTCGATTGGATGCAGAAGAAACTGCCTAAGTCCGGATCCGTTGAGATCTCCCTGCAAGAATGGCCAGGTAGTTACCTAGCAAGCCTATGCAGCTTCGAAGTGAAACAAATTCAAGCAGGAAAAGGTATGGATAGATATCTAACAAGCCAAACGTCATCAGAGATGAGGAAAACGATATGCCAATGCAGAAAGACAAAACAAGTTTTTGATCTAGGAGAAGAAAATTGGACAAAGCAAACACTAAGGAATCAGAGAAGAACAGCCATGCCAAGTCATATCATGATATGCACGTTTGGAACCATGGTTCACGAAGAGCCAGAAGGCAGGAAGCTCGACCCCGTTCGATCCGGAGAATCAGAGGCAGCAGTCCCTCCACCATTTGCGATTGAGCCAGCGCCCGTTGAGCCGAGTTCCAAAGTCAGCCAAGAGGTTGAGCAAATTCGAGCCGAAAGCCAGGGACCACCCGTCGAGGTCCCAGCATGGTCACCCCAAGCATCAAATAATCCAGGTCCCAAGTACTTGGCATTAGATAGCTTTCAAAGGTCATTGATTCAACGAATGCATAACAACTTAGGACATCCGACAGCAGAAAAACTTGCTATGCATCTAAAGAAGTTGGGGTTTACACAAGAGGTAGTAGATGGAGCAGGAGACTTTCTGTGCCAGTCATGTTCTGAGAGGGTTCCACCAAAACTGACATCCCCTGGAAAACTGAAAGAGCCCAAGGAGTTTAATGAAGTGATAACCCTAGACGGCTTTGAATGGAAGAACAGTGATGGAACCAAGTTTTATGTGATTCATGTCTTTGACGAAGCTACTCATTTCCATTTAGGAAGGAGGTGCCAGAGGGGAACAGAAGAAGCAGAAAGGGTCATTCGAGAAACATGGATGCACTGGGCCGGACCCCCACAAGTTATCGTTCACGACTTAGCAGGAGAATTCGTCAGTCAACATTGGAAAGACATGTTGCAACAGGAAGGGATTCAGTCCGTGACATCAGCAGCACCATGGCAAAGGGGTCGCATAGAAAGACATGGAGGAACAGTGAAAGAGATGCTAAGCAGAATAGATAATCACACCCCGATTAAAAGCGATAAGGACTTTGACTATGCTCTTGAACAATGTTTCCAGGCCAAAAACAGCATGAGTGTAGCAAAAGGGTTTAGTCCAGAGCAAGCAGTCCTAGGTCGAGCAAGGAGATTACCGGGATCAGTATGCAGTGATGAATCAACAATCACTCATTCGTTGGAAGAAAGTGAAGAAACCCAGTCCGACCTCTTCCAGAAAAAGATGTCAATTCGTACTGAAGCCCGAAAAGCACTCCTTGATGCAGACAACTCCAGCGCAATTCGAAGAGCATTGCTTAGGCAGTGAAGAGGTCGTGAACACGACTGGAAATGCGGAGAGCTGTGCATGATTTGGGATCGTCGCAAAGCTCCGAACATGCTAGAGAAAGGTCGATGGGTTGGACCCTGTCAAGTCATCATGAACGAGTCACGCACAATCATTTGGGTAACTCACCTAAATCGACTTCTTCGAGTAGCAAGAGAAAATATGAGATCGGTATCACTGAGGGAGTTTCAGAACCATCATGGATTCAGCCAAACCGATAGTCAACAGAAACTCCAAGCCATGGCAAATCGCTTGAAAGAACAGCTGAAAGAAAGGAGCGGTATGTTCCAGTTTTCAGATCTAACTGATCAAGCCGATGATCGACCAATCGAGCCAGCCGAAGCAGAGGAACCGCGAGCAGGCCAGCCAGAAGAAGAGCCAGTTCGTAGGAACTCATGCACAGGTTCCCAAATTGAGCAGCCGCCCGGACTAGATGCCAGCCTCATCCCAGTGATTGACCCCACAGCCGATGAGGAACTCAGAGAAGACTATACACCGACCGAAAATCCTGAAGGGGTTGAACCGACACTTGAATCAGTAGGGGATTCGACAGTGTACCATGCATTGATAGTTGAAGGGGTTAATTCAGGGGAAGCAATCATCGAGGATAGGGGTACTCTTTGGAGTAATGAATCCACCGATGAAGCACAAGCTCAAGTGTGTAAATTTGAGGTCATAGTTCCGATGAAAAGATTGGAAAAATTTTGTAAATGTCCCAGCTTTCATGCAGAAGCATTGAATAAAGCAGTAAAGAAAACCCACACCGAAGTCCAATACAGGAACCTCACGGAAGCCGAAAAGAAGCAGTTCGACCAGGCTAAGAGAAAGGAATTAAATTGCTGGATTGAGACGCAAACAGTGGAACCTTTGCTTAGAAGCCGGATTCATCCCAGCCGTATCATGTCTTCAAAATGGGTTTTGACTTGGAAAGAAGACTTGACATCACCAACTGGGCGAAAGCCCAAGGCCAGGTTAGTAATTCGAGGATTCCAAGATCCCGAAGTAGGGATAGTCTCTACAGAAAGTCCCACACTTTCCCGAGATGGTAGGATGATGATATTACAGACAGTGAGTTCATTACATTGGCAGGTTCAATCATTTGACATCAAAACTGCCTTTTTGAGGGGCAAGTCGGATGATAGAGAACTAGCTATGCAACCAGTCCAGGAATTCAAAGAATTGTTGCAACTGTCTAATGAACATGTGCTTCTACTACGAGGAAATGCATATGGAAGAGTGGATGCTCCACTACTCTTCTACAAGGAATTCCGTCGCAGGCTGGAAGCAGAGGGTTTCGAAGCACACCCATTAGATAATTGCATTTTTCTTTTGAGAGACCGTGAAGATCCAAGCAAATTAGATAGAATCCTAGGAACTCATGTAGATGACGGGATTGGAGGGGGCAATCAGCGATTCGAGCAGGCATTAGCCAGGGTAGAAAAACATCTGCCTTTCGGAAACCGAGAGTACACCAAATTCAAGTTCACCGGACTTACCATTGAGCAGAGAGCCGACTTTTCGATAAAGATTGATCAAGAAGATTATATGCATCAAATTGAACAAATTGATGTTCCAAAGATTCGACGAAAAGACCCAGAGGCAGAAGTAACCCAAGCAGAATTACATCAGCTTCGAGCCCTGTGCGGAAGCATGCAATATGCAGCGGTGCATTCACGTCCGGACATGATGGCAAAAGTGGCATTCTTACAAAAGAAGATATGCAAAGCAAAAGTTCAAGATCTTCTAGAAGGAAACAAGATACTAAGAGAAGCTAAGGAAACAGCCAACACAGCAATCTTAGTTCAACCCATCAAAATGAACCAGCTAACATTTGCCAGCTTCGGAGACGCAAGTTTTGCATCGGAATCACAGCTAAGGGCACAGCAAGGTGTATTCATTGCAGCATGCACGAAGGATCTTGGAGAAAACAAAATCTCGGATATATCACCTTTAGCTTGGCATTCAAAACAGATTAGTAGGGTAGTCAGATCCACCTTAAGTGCCGAGGCTTATGCAATGTCCTCATCACTGGACAAGCTCACGTGGTTGCGATGCATGTGGGCATATATTAAAGATGGAAGATTCCAATGGCAAAAGCCTGAAATTTCGCTACGAGGTGAACCGAAGGCTCTCCTAATCACAGATTGCAAAAGCTTATATGATTTGGTGAATAAGATGGCAACCCCGAATTGCCAAGAATGGAGAACCACGATTGAAGTCATGTTGATCAAACAACAATCTTCGGAAACAACGGAATGCCGATGGATATCGACAGCAATAATGTTGGCAGACTGTTTAACGAAGCCAATGGATGCAGCATTTCTTCGTAAGGTTCTTATGCTTGGAAAGTTTCGAATCTTTGATGATGATAGCACTCTAAAGAGCAGTCCGAATCGAAAGTTCAGCACACGATGGATTGAGTCCTTTGAGGAGTCTCATTCGAAAAGAAAACAGAATGAATGTGAATCGAACACCAGGGAAAGCCTTCGACCGGACACCTTCGAATGAGCAACCATGGATTCGACGACCTCATGAACAGACAGCCAACCAATGTGTTTGGCTCAAGGGATGAACACAGGACAACGGTAGTGGTGGAGAAAAGGCGGCGGACCGCTGACCTTGGAAGGGCGGAGGACCACCCTTTTGTTTAGGTTAGGAACCTTGTTTGGGCGAGGAAGCAACCAGTGGCACTGGAAAACAATTCCAGTGACATGTATACAATTCCATTAAATAAACATATATATATATATAAACGAACAGAGTTATATTATGCTTTCTGTAAAGCAGCATTCGTGGGCGGAGATCTCTTGGTCAATCCAACCGTTGAGGCGTCCGGCGCCGGAGTGGCCTGACCTGCTGAGCATTACCAGCGTCAAAGAAAAGCCACGGCCACGACGTGTCGTCACCTCAATGCCTCGCGTCTTTCACATCGAAAGTTACTAAACTAGTACGGCCAGGAGCCCTTAGTAGCGTCCTTGCTCCTAGTAGGAAGGCCCGGAGCCCCTAGTAACTTCTTGTTCCCGGTCTATGCTCACCGTAGTGCTCAATATTCTCTTCAGGAGCCTGAGCCGTGGGAGGAGGACAAGGACTCCGCCGCTGAACCGCCTGGATCTCGAATTTCTGACTCTTTGACCGCCCATCGCCGTGGCACCACACACCGCTCAAGGCATGGAAGTATTTGGTTCGACCTGACGTGGAAGGCTTCGAAGATGGCTGTGTGGATGGCATCGTATCTGATAGACCAGAGCCTAGAGATCTATTCTTAGTCCTTCTATGTCCTGTCTCTGTAAAGAGCAATGGTTAACTTGGTTTGGTGGCGAGGAGCTTCCCGCAGCCGGATACTTCAGAAGGAACTGGAGCCGGTTTGCTAACAGCATCTTTTCAGAATCTCATGCGATAGCGTCTCCTTCTCAATGGAGCTCCAGCGGAGGAATTTCCACCCTGAACTAAACTATCATACTAGCGCTGGCCTCCAACCATATAACAAAACACACAGACGCGACAAGAGTTGGCAAGCCGGAATTGCACTGTGATCCCCTGTAGGATTCTAAGGGGAAAGGCTTGTCAAATTTTGTCCCGTCTCTGCATTTTGTAGGTCTGCGTCTTTGACCACGACTCTGTGAACCACGACTCTGTGAAACGTTTCTTGTCGGCTTATTGCATCCAAACCCCGCTAATCTCCGATCTCCTTCGGAATGATGCATTTGCCGCTTCCCCTGCCGAAGTCTGCGCAACAAAGCAACAGATATACCTAAACTACCACAGAACTTCCAGAAAGTGTGGCGAAATGACTCCTGGCTTTGAGTCCAAGGCCGAATGAGTTGTAAATACTGCACATGTGAAGCCAAGTCAGCTTTGAGTTCCTCGCACCACTGATTCTTCTGTGCAGTTGTTTGTCGCTCATACTTTGGTACCAAGAAATCAGCTGGATCTGGCTCGGTAGGAGCTTCATGCCAACATGACAAGTGAGCATAGATAGTCCATTGGTGATTGGAATGTTCGCCGAAGGCATTGACCGTTGTGCCATTGACCATTTGACATCACACCGAGAATGACGAGAGCGACGGGAGGCCCGGTCCGTGGCGCTCTCGCCGGACCGCCGAAGAGCCTCCTGGAGAAACAGCAGATATGGCGGTCCGGGGCCCATCGTGTCCGATGTTTCCTTCGCGGAAGCTCGGGGTAGTGAAGTCCTCAAAGAAGTAGGGGCTCGTCGGGAGGATGTTTAGAAAGCGTTCTTGTTTGGATGAAGGAAGACATAAAGAGCTAGAAATACACAGGTCTAAGGTCCAAAGAAAAGAAGGAAGAGATCATCACGTTTCTAAGAAGAGGTAGGGACCCGAAGACCCAAGGCCATTTGGGAGTTGCTCTTGGGACTGGTGGCTCTACACGTCTTGAGGGATCAAACAGCACGCAATTCAACTGGCAGGAGCTGCATTGTGGACTCCACTCCAAACACAGTTTTAGGCATCCTTCGCAGGGAACACTGAGAGGTCTTGTCCCTTCCGGAGTTTGCTTTGAATGCACTTTATCATTTGATCGTGGTATGACTGGTGCTCGAACCTCACAGAGTGGTTTCCGGCTTGTTGGAATCTCGTTACCGCAGGTGATGCTAGGCACTGAGGAAGTTTCTTTTTTTTGCAAGGTTCTCTGCCCCACATTTTGCCACCTGAGTTCACTTCCGACTCACGCACTTTTTCCTGTTGGAGAAACCTCTAGATTATGTGTGTTTCCTCCTTCTTCTGCATATTTGTCCATTTCTCCCGTGCGTGACGTGTACAGAATGAGTTTCTCGCATGAGTTTCCCGTGATACGCCAAGCCTCTGAGGCTTCCTGACCTCGGCGCAGCATCTCAGGATTGAAGCGTCCATATCCCGACAGAGTCGTTGGACGAAAAGCTGCAAGGGCTGCACCGGATGGTGAAAGAAACGCACACAAGATGTGGAGCCAACATGCCTTTCAAGCAGCAAGGGATAGTACGGCTAGTAAGGCTAGCAGAGGGTCCCATAAAAAGATGCGGAAAGAAAAGGTCCTTGAAAAGGTCTAAAGAAAAAGACACCGTGAAAAAACAGAAGCTACTAGGAACAAAGGGCATCGCTACTAGTAGCAAGGACGCTACTAGGAACAAAGGACGCTAATTTGCAATGTTGGAGCTGCTGTGGTTGCAGGAAGACGGTCTATGGCCGTTTCTTTGAGGCAACGAGCACTGAGTCTGTGAAGTCTTTGTTTCTTTTGTGGAGGGAGAATACTTCAGTTTTCGAAGCTGAAGAAGGAAAGACAGAAAAGGATCCAACAAAGAGAGGTCCAAGGGTCCAAAGTGTAAAGAAACAAAGAAGCAGACAGAAAAGGAAGAACTTTGCAAACTTTTCGCGCGGTAGCTCCTTCTGGTGCGACAGGTTTGCATCGAGCAAGTGGATACAAAGTGGTCAGATGGCTTCGGCATAGGTGCAGACCTTTTTGCCAAAGCCCACCTGCTGTGTCCACATCGACCACGTGATCATGTCTTCTGTCAGGCATTGGGGTGCACCCATCTTTGAGCTCTACATTGGAAGCAGACATCGGAGGTTTCTATGAGGCTGGTAGGGTAGAGAAGGGACGAAATGGAAGAAGCGGGATCTAATGACGCCAATCAGCTTTATTCGCTAGCTTGACACAGCTCCCTTGCCCCGTCTCCAAGTGACAGGAATCCAATTATGCCTAATTAGCCGCCTGTGTTCCAGGACTTGATACGATAAACAACTAGCCTAGCCACCCCCCATGTTTTGGAAGGCCGATTCTCAGGTTTTCTTGTTGCGACCTTTACAACTTAAGCCCGAAGTATGTCAGGGCCTCGCGTGGGAGTCTATGCCTCACAGCTGGATGCTGGGCTATGACGGCCGAGTGAAGATCCATCGCTCAACGCGGTGCGCAACTGCGGTGGCTATATGCTCAAGATTTCCTGAGATGTTTCAAGCAATGTTTGACAGTCTGAGCTTGTGTCCAAGTAGAATTTGCGGGATTTTGCCAGAGTTCTCCCCGCATGAACGGTGTTTCCAACGATGGCGCAGTCTTTGACCTATCGTGGCAGATCAATATTTGTCTTGTTCCGTGAATTAGTGGAACTTTGCCCTTTGTTTGGCTCAAATCCAGCGGAGCCAGAGATTGTCTCAATGTCTGCTGTCTTTTGGATGCAGGGTGAGGTGTGCGGTAGAACCCTGAGCGCCATTTGAGGAACCAAGGTTTTCCTGCCGCTAAGTAACTGAGTTCTTGACAAAGAAAGTATTCTTCATTTGTAGCAAAGGATAGTGAACTTCAAACCGGCACACCTTGAAAAGGCATTCGTGGCCTCGCAATTTTGCCTTTTTAAGCGACTTCAGAGAGCTTGTTAAGGGAGTCTATTTGGTTGACTTCATGTAACGGCCAGAGGCACAATTTCTTTGGATTTTAATTCAGGGCAGAACAGCCGGTGAAGTTTTACCTCATCGTATCCAAAAAAATCTAGGAATCAAAGCATTAGCATGAGCTATCCTGCGTCCAGTTACTAGTAGCGTCCTATTGCTAGTAGCGTGTTTACTCCTGTACTTAAATTAAGTAGGCGCTGGCCTAAAAAGATGAAGTAAGGGCGGCCTAAAAGAAGGATTTCACCTCCAACTTCAACTCCCTCACCTGGATGCTTCAAAGTTGCTTGAGATGACTTATCAACTGCCGATGATCGTTTCACCACTGACTATACTGGGTGAAACACCACGTGCTTAATTACTACTAGTAGCAAAGGGCATCGCTACTAGGAGCAAGGACGCTACTAAGGGCTCCTGGCCTTACTACTAGGAGCAAGAAGCTACTAGGAGCAAAGAGCATCGCTACTAGCTCCTGGCCTTAGTGAAAATCCGCCCATGAGCAGAGTGAAGCCGCAGAACCATCATGGGCCGAGTTCCAACACCTGAGGCCGGACCAAAGAACTCGACACACACAGCGCGGTGGCACAGGGGCAAGCTGCCCGTGACAATTGAGTGTCTCGAACTATTCCAAGATGCGTCTGATTCGTTCTGACAAAATAAGGCCTTTTGTCTCTTGTATTCCTTCGAAGAGTAGAAAAGAAGAAAGATAGGACTCGGTCCGAGTTGACTTTTTTGCTTGGCTCTGGGTCTGTGCCTAGAGTGGGGCTGATAGTTGTCTTACCGTGCCGACCGGTTCCTTGGTCAGCAATGGCCAGTGGTGGTTCCGTTGTCTTGGCTGTTGCTGGTGCTGCATTGACCTTGAAGCATGTTATTTTTTTCTCCTATCCATGCATATCCTTTGAGGACTCTACCCGGTAAACTCTACCCTATTGATGCTTGTTGAGGTCAAAGTAGTCCTCGATGAAGTCCTCATTGTTGTATGTTTGTTTGGCAGTTGTTTGTTTGTAGGTCCACCGTCTACCAATGTCCATCATTTCCCCCTCCTGTGTGAGCGTGAGGCTTCGTCTCCAAGTGCGTCGGGATCTGCAAGTCCAGCTCACGCTGTGTCCAGCTCAGTACTGGGGCCGTGGACTTCCTGACTCATCACTCATCCGACTCATCCCAAACAGGATCAACGGAGATCACTTTTCCTTTTTTACTTTTTGGCTCTTTTTGTTGATCCCAACAAAGTGGGAGATGCTTTGTTGACTGAAAAATCTTGTACAGATACTGAAGTAGACCCTGTTGCAACACCCAACGGACACGAAACAAACATGACGTGTGCTTGGTTTGCGGCAAAGGCTCACCGTTCCAGCAACGCTTCCCTCAGTGACAAGGGCCGTTTGAGGTAGGTGGCTGATTCTGAAGAGCAGTCTTGTTGGTAGGTTTTGATCTCGGTAGTAAGGTTTAGGTTTTTCAAAAGTAGGGGGCGAAAGAGCACTTTTTTTAATACTTGCTGCATCTTGCTGCCATTTTGCAGTAGTTTGTTTGCAGTCTCATTGACATTCAGAAACAGAATCCGCTGCAGTCGACCCTTTTTCGCCAGGCTGCAGGCTCTCGCCGGCAGCGGCTCCATGGGCTCTGGAAGGCCTTCCAGCACGAGTTTGGCGGAATCCACCGGAATTAGGGATGAACTTGTTTTTTTCTTCTCTTTTTTCAACAATCTACCAATCTACCTAATAGTGATGGCCTCCAACCTGATAGCAATAGCTCAATAGCACAAATGAACCTAAATCGATCTCAATTGTTTTCTTGTTTGACACGACGTCTTGTTATCAAGATAGGGTGAGCCTAGTGGTGAGGGTTGGTTGAGTCCAAGAAACCTGCTTGTAAAGCAAACGTAACCAGTTGTTTCGAGTTAACAACATGTAAGTGCTCTAGAGCCAAGCCATCTAAATCCATCATCCCACCTAATTAGTTGCAAACGACAAGGAGGTGATCAAAATTGCAATCATGTATGTGTATATATATATAAGCTACTGGGCGCTCCTGGCATCGCTACTACTAGTAGGAGCAAAGACGCTACTAGGGGCTCCTGGCCTTACTACTAGGAGCAAAGGACGCTACTATGTTGAAGGCCATTGGCAATATAAGCATTTCATTTGGGGCTGACTCTATGAGAGTGCCGAGTGTGTCAGGAGCGCTCCGTGCTGCAATGTCTCTACAGAGGAGTTGAAGCACAACAGCCATGGCAGCTATCGTGAAGGTGTTTCAGTCTTGCTTGTCAAATGGGTTTGGTTACTTCGCTTCACAGACAAGATTGGGCCGTTGCTAGAGCTGCTAGCTCAACTGCATTTGGATTGAGCCATGGCAGCTATCGTGATTGATGGGGATCTCTGCAAAGCTTGACCAGCTACTTTGCTCTCTGTGGGTTTGAAGAGACATGAGACAAGAGGGTTCTTTCCGTACTTCTTCACATATATTTTGCTCCACTGCCATGAATGGTCAAGACTCCTTGGAGATCACCGTCTCCTTTGATCAATGTCAGGCAGTACAATGAATTCAGGAGATTGGCGTCTTCGTCCACTAGGGGATTCCTAAAGATCTAGGAACCAAATCAATAGCGTGAGCTATCCTGCATCCTGTCGGGAGTAGAATAGGTAGCTAGAAGCTTACTCCCTCAAGCAAGGGCGGCCTTAAACAAGAGGATTCCTCAAATCCTCAAATATTGAGTAGGAGCAAGAAGCTGCTAGGAGCAAAGGGCATCGCTACTAGGAGCAAGGACGCTACTAGGGGCTCCTAGCCATACTACTAGGAGCAAGGATGCTATTGGGAGGAACGCCCATGAAAAAAGATCCCATGGACCGAGCCTTTGATCCTCTCGCCAGGTGTCTCATCGAGCCCGGAAGAGTCTGCAGGCCTCTCCGTGCGATGGACGTGCCATGGGACCGGGACGAAGCGAAGAGCAAGCATAGAGGTTGTTACGTAGTTCTTAAAGGTCCATTCCATTCCTGAATATGAGCTTAGTAAGGAGCATTACCAAGGCATTTTTGTTGCAACCTTTGGGAAATGCTGGTGCCTCTCACTCTTTGATGCAGGCCTCAATACACAGCCACCAGTCCGTGCCTGAGTCACAGCCCAACCTCACTGAGTGAATGGATTGCTACAGGTGGTGTGACTGTCTTTACACCGATTAGATAGCCATGACATTTCCTAATTTGCAGATGAAAACACGGCAGAAAGGAGGAACAGGAAAGGTCCAAAAGTCTAAAAAGCAGAACAATGAAAGAGAACAGCATACAACCCCAACCGGGAAATACTATAAGTTCAGCGACGCGTTCCCTCTTGCTACCGAGCAGACTAGATCTTTTCTTCACTCCTTTCTTTTTGTCCTTCATCCTTCCTTTCTTCTTGATACTAAGACTTTAAGAATGCGTGATCAAGGGACTCTTGGATGCTCAATGCTCTCGATTGCAGGGATCACCTGACTTGTCCGTGAAAGGCCGCTGCGATTTGTCCGAACAGTTGTGGAATTTTTCGGCTTGTTTTGCCGCTTTGTCATTTGTATTGTGTATCCATCAACTTGTGAGATTCGCAACAGCAGACATGTGGTTGTGTGAAGACTCTTCATATCTCTTTATCAGATACTCTAAGAGCTGAACGGTCCAATGAGTTTTGGCAAATCCATTGCACGGTTTGTTGGATCATCCTTGCCAAAATCCAACGTCACCGCATCCAACTCAGTCACAAGAAGCACCCAACTCGAAGCCCAGCAGGAAGTTCCTCCTTGAAGGGCAGTGCTTCTCCAAAGCCTGGAGCTCACAGCGTGTGTTGGTGACCTTGGTTAGACTGACCCAAGTGATGAATGTGTTAGGTCTGGCGGGGATTCACAGGCCAGGCACTCAGCGGCGAGATGTGAGATTTGAGTCTTGCAGCTCTGAGAGGCAGCGGTATTCACCTACTTTTGCTTTGGTCCTATTAAGTCACAGTTGCATTTTGTATGTTCGATTGAACATGTGCGACTTCGCAGCACATGAGTTGATGCTTTGGTTCATCGCTTTTCTGAGAGGAAGCAGCCAGAGGGTGATTGATTTGCTCTGAGGGCTTGGCTGGGGCAGTGGAGTCCACGAAATCAGGAAAGCCTGTTGGGCAAAGCTCGTGCCACCCCCAGATGGTGCAGATCAGAGTGGAGCGGTCAGGGTGGCAGAAACTTCGGTCTTGGTTGGAGGCAATCGCCAGTAGGTTGGATGCCATCGCTAGTGTTCCAGAGCTCCAGCCCTGGCTCTCAACCGAGCCAAGGATTGCTGCCCGTCGTGGTTTCCAGCCAACTTTGGCAGTTGGAGGGAAGGCGCGATTGAGCCTAGAATCGTTTCTGAGCTGTGGACAAATTCTGAAGGTGTTAAATTGTAGTGGACAGACCAAATGATTCTGAAACATCCTGAAGCAACGAACCACAAGTGCTTGCTGCCTGTGTAGGATTCCGCACCTCTCTCGATCAGCACGAAGAAAGAGCAACCCAAGAAGAGGGAGAAGAGGCGCGTGCAAGGGGTGGGGGCACGAAAATCCAAATTGAATCAGCAGAGTCCCAAGAGGAGTGCAATGTAAAGTTGAGTGTCGTGTTCAGGAGAATCAAGGCTGTGGATTCCATCCACAACTACTACAAAATTGGCGAGACTGTCCATCTCCAAGAGCTGTCGATATCATCTGGGGACGATCGTTCACCAGAGCTGGAGAGGATTCTTTTGGATTTTTTTGCTTTATGAGTTAGCCACACGGGCCTTCCGGCCTTCCTCTAGCTTGTATAGCTGCTTCTTACAGGAAGATTCGAGAGGAAGCAGATCCAATAACTCCAATGTATCGTAACAAGCTGGTGAGGGATGTGTAAGACACAAGACCCAAGGCCCTTGGGTCGTAAGGGCCCTTGAAAAGAAATAAACAAAGAACATGAAGAAGGGGCTACAGGTCTGAAGGAAAGACAAACAAGGAAGAAAGAAAGAACTTCTTTTCTTGTTTCCATAAAGTATTTTTCTTGTTGCAACTTGTAAGATCGGTCCGTATCCAAAAGCAAACCTAGTAAGGGCTTAGTGGCCGGGCCTACTGGTAGTACTGTTGTTTAAAGGCCAGATTGTACATGACGGAAGAACGAACCAGAGGCCAAAAGTAAGATCTAACAAAGAAACTAAAGAAAGACACAGAGAGAGAGAGAGAGTAAGGGAACGATAGCACAAAGGCAACAAAGGGCAGTTTCTTTTCATGGAAGGAGTATACAATAAGCTACTAGGAACAAGTGCATCGCTTCTAGTAACAAGTGCC